CTTTCTTGATTCTGTACAGGTTGTGCCTGGAGAGTTGACTATTGTTACAGGAGTCCCAAATTCGGGGAAGAGTGAATGGATTGATGCTCTTTTGTGCAATCTCAATCAGAGTGTTGGCTGGAAATTTGCACTTTGCTCTATGGAAAATAAGGTAGGCACTGTTGAAGCTGCTTCTTGTCATATCAAACTGGGATAAGTGAGCGATTAAATTCATTAGAAATTAGATGCCAAGTTGGTTTTGCCACCACCATTTCCTAGATGAGGCTTGTGCGAAATGCATCCTAAGAAGATTCTTAACCGTTAACTCCCTCTAGAATGATTTATTGATAGTAAAGTAATATAGCAGGATATCATGCAATGGACAACATATTATCTACATTATCTGGTTCTTCTATTTAATTTTTATATCGGAATTCCAAGTATAATATAACCTGCACAAGTATTAGATTCCTCAAAGTTCTACGGGGTGTTTCTGAAAAAAAATGTATTAAGTGATTTGCTTTTGTGCCCTGGTTCTTGTTTGAAGAATGCCTAGATTCCTAAATCATACTTCAACTTGGATAAGCATAACTGATGTTTTACTCGTAGTGTACTAACTATGAGTTGAGAGAATCATTTAGTCAAACCATCATCTGTCCTACTTTTTTTTGTTGATAAAGACCATCATCTGTCATACTTGTCTTTGGTCTGGATTAATTGACCTGTTTTCATGAGCTGCTTTGATTTTAATTGGATCAACACCATTAATAAACTATTCATGAGTGAGTTTTACATTCATAAGTGAGTTTTTATTGCCGATCTCTAGCCTAAAGAAGTTCATTTTCCCCACATTGGTGCTGGATGGTGTTAGACGCCAACAGATTCCTGCATCGTGATGGACGATGATGGTAAATAAGTTATTACAAGAGAGTCATATTCATATAGGTTAGTTGGAGCATTGGCTCGCTGAAAGGGAAGTTAATAGAATTAGTGGATACCATTAAGAGGAGGTGAGTTGATATTGCGTCATTGCGTGTCTACAAGAGGCTAAGTGGACGAGAAAGAGGCTATAGAGAATTCGAACATTGGTTCGTTGATAAAGAAATCAGTAGAATTATTGGATACCTTAGAGAGGAACAAAGTTGATATTTCGTGCAAGTTGAACTGTACGTTCGTTATTACAATAAATATCATTGTATGATTGGATAAATAAAAATATGAATGGAGTGAGAACTATTGTAGAGCTAGTATTTTAGGGTAAAGCTGTAGAAGTAAAAAGAATTGGTGATAGGGGTGACGGTTGAACCACCAGTTGGTGATAGGGTGACGGTTGGAGCAAAACAGATATAGAGAATTCATATAGCCGAACCCAACTAGTTGTGATTGAGGCCCCAGGTGGTGCTGTATAAATCATGTTATTTTCATTGCTTGATTATTATGTGACAAAGTCAAGCTTTGAGGACATGTATACCAATGAAAGTTTTGTTCAAATAGATTATTCAATTGACTTATTACAATAATATAATCAGATTCAATTTATACGGTCAAACCAAGTAAATCCTACTTCTAGAATTCTAGTGAAAGAAAATACATATGTAGTAAATGATATTTCAACTCGTATAATTTCATCTTGGACCTATGTTAGTGCTTTTGCTGTTGTGTTGCTAAACCAAATGCCTAAAAGTTCAACTATTGTTACAACACTTCCCCAATCATTCTCTTGAGTTCTATCATAGTCAACAATCTCTTGTCTTTCTTCAATGCTAAATGTCAGCTCTTAAAATCTGTCAGACAGCTGTTTACGGCTTGGCCCTCACCACAGTGAGGAACTATTTACCCTTCAGCACATTCACCCCTGCACATTTGTGTTTGCTCGTTTTTCTTGGTTTTACTTACTATCTATCTATTTACTGATCTGTAGGTGCGGGACCATGCTAGGAAACTTTTGGAGAAACACATAAAGAAACCATTCTTTGATGTGAGGCAAGTAGGAAACAACCTATAGCTCTTAAGTCTCTTTATCATTTTTCTTTTTAGTGTTACTACATTTAGGCAAGATGCCTAGAAACATAATTGTTGTCATTACAAATTTTAAATTACATATTCGGTAGCATTGAGAAATTAGATGTTGATAAAGTTGCATATGTAAGAAAGAAATTTCGCAAGAATTGATAGATGTGAGGAGAGAGAAATGCTCCCAGGCACAAGACCCGAGAGAGTCTAACAACTTTATCCGGTGGTTCCTAGTCACTTTCCGGTGATTCTTCCTTGCATTTTTCTGAGTTTTTCTTTAATCAATCATGTCTAGGTGATAGGCTCAAAAACTTAGTTTCTCATTTATTCTCATAGTCATGGTTAACAGAGTTTATTTTAATATTGGTGAGAAGTCTTTTGAGATTACTGAAGTCAAAGATAGTGCAGATGTCTGGTACGAATGCAAGAGGAACTTCATGAGGAAAATGACTCTCAGTCGGAAAGTCATGCTATAGGTATGTGAACTCCTGATTTTCTCATTCGAAAGATGGCCAATGAACTGAGGAGATCGAAGGCCAGAGATCACGTGCATAACTTCTATTGTACAAAGAAATACAATGGTTATGGCCGATATATTAGTGTAGTTGCAGTGTAGGGAACGCAGAGCTGTCATAATCCTGTCAGAAGCAGCATTCAATATTGGGTTGAGAGATGTTGCTTTAAAGATAAAGAATTTCATTAATGTGAGTATGTGACTGTCCCAGCTGTGCAGAGGTTCACAAATCCAGTAGTGGACCATTCATACATGAAGCTTTCATATAAATGGGAGGCTAAAGGGGCTTTCACATCAGCATCCTTTACCTCCACTGCTCAGCGGATTATTGCTCATGGCCCTGAAATCTCTGATAATGATGTTCTTAGCAGATGCCTGGTGGGAAGTTTAAGCGAAACGAAGGAGCTGCCTACTCTTTCTGACAGAAGGAGATGGGTCAGTAGCTAATGGAGCGCAATGCCAGGTATTTAGATGTACGAGATGCATGGAGCAAAATTTCTGTTCGAATTTCCTTCAAGGAAAATGGCAGATCACATCAAAATGGGGGAATGGAGGTGGAGAAATAAATTGATGATCCTTGATTGGTGGTCGCCGACAGTCGGGTATTTTCCGGGAGCGACCAAACTTGATTGGGTGTGGGTGAGGCTACTGGGGATTCCTTGCCATCTCTGGTCTCAGAAAATTTTCAAGCAAATCGGAGATATATGTGGGGGATGGATTGAAACTGAGGAAGAAGCTATCCTAAGGAACCTTTTGAAATGGGCTCGAATTAAAGTCAAGGGGCTCGAATTGATGCCAATGTTACTTCAAGGGCCCTTGAACTTTCTGCTACCTTCTCTGATGGCGACGCATTCTTGAGAAACAGTCGCAAAAGAAGAGTTGGCTTTGCATGTTGGGTATGATGAGGAAGATTTAACCCCCTTGGGTGGAAAAATTGTCCCTTTCTCACCTCTTCCTTTGAATGCCCATCAATTGATAGATTGCAAAGATCTTGAATCTTGGTTAGTAGATGCATCCGGACCTCTTGATTCCCATTTACTTGAAGCCGATATGAATGCTTCCCTATAGGTGCATAAAAATGTGTTGAAGATGAACAAGACTTATGGCGCAAGATTTACAGGGCAAGAAGAAGCTCCATAACTATTTATGAAAATCGACAGGTGCAGACTAGAGGAGAGAAAAAGCAACTTCAAGGGAAGTTTCGACTTCGAAAAAGAAAAAAGGGATCATGAAGGTACAAATTGTGGTGTTCAACATCAACTTCTCATAACGCAATACTAGAAGCAGGGGGAAATCTGCCAACAACTGTTTTTAGTGAAGGTAATATTATTTCCTGGAATGTTTGGGGATTGAATAGAAGGGATAAAAGATCAATTGTGAAGTCATTAATTAAGAAATGGAAGGCTGATATATACTGTCTGCAAGAATCCACATTAGAAGGTGATGTCCAATCGTGTGTGAATCAGATTAGGGGCCATAGATGGGGTATTTTGGTTCTATGGCACAGTAGAATATGGAAGGGGAGGTGGTTAATGTGGTTAATCATACCATCACTTGTAAATTTGTTTCTCAGAGGGTTGAGAGAAGAATGTGGTGGGAAGCAGTTATCTCCAGGGAATCGTTGTTGGACAATGGGTAGTCCGTGGAGATTTTAATGGTACCAGATATATGGAGGAAAAAAGGGATAGCAACACTATTTCAAGAGCTATGACTTCTCTAAGTTTATTGAGGACTTAGAGCTTCTTGATCCTCCACTATTAGTGGGGATTGTATACATAGGCCAGAAGAACTAATTCTCATATTGCCTCTAGGCTGGATAGATTTTTATTTTTCTCTGTGCGGGATGAAAGCTTTAGGACCATAAAGCAAGCAAGTTTCTTCAAACCACACCCTTATTCTTCTCAATTGTGGTGATTGGGAAAACACAAAATCTTATTTCAAGTTCTAGAATTGGTGGCTTGGTGCTGATGGTTTTAAAGATTTCATTTTGGCACAGAAACTCAAGATTTTAAAAGGAAAGCTGAGAAAATAGAGCTTCTCTCTCGGAAGGAACCTGGAAATGAGGAAGACTGAATGTTTAAACAGAATCATCGAACTATAAGTTGCACAAGACACTAGAGATCTTACTGAAGATGAAACAATTCAGATGGCAAGCCTAGATATGGACCTGGAAGAAATAATCTAAAAGAATTTTCACTTGCTTGATCCATGAAAAAGAATCAGGCCTCCACGTGAAGGGACATGTTGAAGATATAACTAATTAAGTAAATAAAAGTGTGCTTTCTCTAACAGCCAGCTTAAGTTTTTAAATGAGATGTTCATACAATTCTACAGTTTATTAGAAGGGAAAGAAATAAGGGGACTTTTGGGGGAAGGAGAGTTCGACAACGACGGCGGTCAAGAGTTCTATGTTGTTGCTTTTGTATTCTTTGTATAAAATGGACTATATATATTTGAGAAATAACCTCTCATTTCTAGTTCATTTGTGGTGCATCCATGACATTCCTTTTTTGTACAGAACATTGGGTGTCGTTCTTAGAGAATCATATTATGTTAGTAGATTTTCTACTACTTGGTATAATACTGGTATACAGGAGGTGTTTCCGTTATTAATAAAATTATTTTCCTTGTAAAAAAATTCGTCGTGTTAAATGGATTTCTCTATATGTTTGGTAGCTAGCTAGCTGGGTAGTCTTTTGGAATCCGTAGTGGATTTTGTGACTTCTTAATTATTTAATTATATTACCATCTTGTAGTACGGACGAGTTCACCATTTCTTGCAAAAAAACAGATAGATAGTTAATTATTAGTTTTTCACAATGAGAAAACATTCATGAAACTGGATTTACTCCATATAACATCAGCTGGATATAGGGTTTGAAATGATTACTACATTGATTTGTCCCGATAAAAAAGGCAGCCCGGTGCACTAAGCTCCCGCTATGCGGGGTCCGGGGAAGGGCCGGACCACAAGGGTCTATTTTACGCAGCCTTACCCTGCATTTCTGCAAGAGGCTGTTTCCACGGCAGCAAAAGTTACATGACAGCAACTTTACTAGTTACATGACAGCAACTTTACTAGTTACATGACAACAACTTTACTAGTTACGCCAAGACTCCCCTTCTGATTTGTCGCGATAGAAATGTTATATTTGGTAGCAAGTTAACTATTTTAAGAGAAAGAAACACATTAATTCAAACTAAGTAAGCTCTGAGAACTAAAAAGTTCTACTTCAAAGTGTTACTGTTAGAACAACTTGTTTCTGATTGGATTCTTCTGCAAAAGCCTCCATTGACTCTCAGTTGAGTGCATTATACCAAGGCCCCTCAAGAGACGCAAGAGTGGCGCAATATCAGTGGCTATTAAATTGGTAAGCGCGTGGTAGAATTCTTAAATGCTAGAACCTATCCCAGAAAAGAGGGGATAAGTTCATTGTAGAAAATAATACCACCATTACAAACTTTTTGAGCATTACAATGGGCAAAACCTACTATCCACTGTGTGCTTGGGTTACTTTGTATAAATTATGGATGAAAATATTTGTGCATATAACTTCATCACTGTCACTGTTTACTTGTCCCATTATGTTGGCTTATTATCTGGTTCTGACCCTATTACCAGCATTCTCTATATGGGCTGTGGGCAGGACTAATTTAGTAGAACTTCATTTTGTAATTAATATTTGCCGAGAGGTGCACACATGTTTGTGTTTGAGAAGTATTTAGGTGTCAAACAGATTGCTTCCCGTTCTTGCAAATGCGTGTCGTATGGTTCAAGCCTTCATTCTTGGCAACCGTAGTTGGTAAGACTAGCTTGCAGTATGCACAGCCACAGACAACCTTTTCTATTTTGGTTCTAATTTTTCTAGTATATCAACCCGCTATAACTTCTATGTTGTGTTGGTCCAGGACGGGGATTGTCATATCCTGCTACCGTAGCTTATTATAAAATTTTTGTTCTTCTCTTTCTAGTTTATTTTTCCTGTAAGAAGAACCTAACTTTCTGATGCACAAAAGGACTCTCTTACTCATCTTATGCATTTTTGGTGTGCATTCATTTATCTTTTGTTCTTTGTGCATTTGTATGGTAACCTTTTGATCACTGGCTATGCAGATATGGGGAATCTGTTCAACGGATGAGTGCTCAGGAGTTTGAAGAGGGAAAGCAATGGCTCAGTGATACTTTTTTCCTCATAAGGTGATAGTGGCAGTTTCCTGATATTATGAATCTTGACTTCTTGCCTTATGATTCTAACTTAGTCCTATTTGGAACTGACATCTGATCTGCAAGCTTACTCTCCATGTTTCAAAGTTTGTTTTGATGATAAGTTCTGGATCGACTGATAGTGGATCCAAATTAAGGATGTCAATCAGTTTGGTTTTGTTTTTTGGAATCTTTACTTAAATAAAGTTTTGAATAGGTAATATTCGAGATATTATGAATCTGTTTTATTTTTTGTTAGTGTCCACATCAATTGAGAGAATGAGCTGTTTGTCTCCTTATATGATAATTTAGGCAATCCTCATCTCATAAGCTAGCAGTTCGGGTCGCGATAGGCGCAAAGTGCACTTTCTTTACATGGTAGTAGAGTCAGACCCATCCTTATTTCTTGGTTTACCTAATGTTAGGGCACAATCTTATGTTGTCCACGCAATGTGTTTCCAACCCTAGTCAATATATGTCCAACCCTGGCATGCGAGGGGTATGATAGAGGCCACATTGGTTGAGTGCATGAAATGTTATCTTGGATAATCCTCATCTCATTAACTAGCGTTAGGGTTGAGTTAGACCTAAAATCCATCTTTCTTTACCGTGGTCAAGCAATGAAATGTTGTGAAGGGGAGATTATTACTTTTAATGGTTGAAGTGATGCAATTTTGAAGAAGAGCGCTTTTCAAATAGTGAGGCCCTAAGCGACTCAAGCGAGAAAGGGTTGCTTCTATGCGTCTAACTTTGAAACTGGATAAGAAAAGAGAGAGAAAGAGGAAACTATGGCCTGTTGCTATCTAACTGTGCTTCAGTAATCTTTTTTTGGTCGTCTCTGTTCAACCTAGTTAGAATTTAGGGACTTTCTTCTTGTTCTTATGGTGTGCAAGTCATCATCTTGTTGGTACTGGACTTCTCTTCTGCTTTTCTAAATGTCTCAACAATTCTCTTGTTAACTTTTCTTGTCTATTTTTACGGAGTAGATAAAAGCGAAAAGCAAGAAATGTGCCAAAGTCTATTGGGGCATTAAGCGCAAAGGAAAATTAAAGCATAAGCTTTAACAAAGAAAGGCACTAATGAAGAAAAAATAATGTGTTACAAGGAAAAATCACAACAAACACAAGCAACAACAATTTGGACAAAAGAATTGAAGTAAAAATCATGTCAATCATGTTTAAAACTATTTTAAATTTCTTATTTAGATGAAAAGATGTAATTTATGTTTTTTCGAGCTAACTTTCCTATATTAAATTTTAATTTTTTATTCATAATCACTAAACATTTCATTCTAGCTTCTTTTTAGCAATTTATAATTTTTTGGAGCTAGCTTTTTTATACTAAAATTTTAATTTATCATTCATAATCACTATTCACTAAAAGTTTTTTAATAACGTCTTTTTAGCAATTAAACTGTCTGTTTACTAACTAAATTTGTTGTTTAGTCGTGCCGTCTTAAAGATAGAGCCCATGGGTGATGAGTAGGGGCGAAGCTACATGTCTTAATTGACCACCC